TGATTTGTCACTCCCCGTCTTAAATGATCAGGTAAGTAAAAAGAAGTTTACTTTTAGATGGTAAAATTCAGGATTTACTACCAAGATATTTAAAGCATGGGGAAATGGATCAATTTTCTGCATATAAAATAGTCAAATGCAGTATTTAAAGAGTATTTTTGGTCTGTTTTGTGAGTAACCAACATATTATAAATGAACTCCTTGAAAAAACGTATGGCAACAAATATTTTAAGATTTCATTGGTTTGAAGAATATTGTATTCTGCAGTTCTTAAAGTTCATAAAAAGTAGTTGCTGAAACTCGATTGCGTCATGTGACGTATAGTGACATTCTTTGCTTTTGCGGAGCCGGGGTGGGCGTGGCCTGCCAGTGATGTATCTGGCCCGTGGGCTGCCAGTTTGACACCCCTGCACTAAAGAAAAAGCTTTGTGCCTCAAGTAACTTGACAATCTTCAAACTTCAGAAGTTGTTTTTTGAAATAGTTTTCTGTTGTTTTCTGCTTTCTCCTGCTACAGTAACTGCTGTAAGAGGAATTCTCAAAGTTTGATATTCAATGCATATTTTCATTAATGGATGAAAAGTATCTCTAAAAATGATTAAAAAAAAAGTAGGCATGTCTTTTGTGTGTAAATTTTGATGGATCAAAAAAACCTCAAGCCACACTGAGCAATAATCAAGAAAATATTTTTTCCGTATTCTTTTAATAACAGTCAGATATCTATAACAAAATATATAGTAGAACTAGCTTTGTATCCTCTCTAACCCATCTATAATTATTATTATTTTTTAGAATGGCAAGAAAAATAATGTTAAAAAACTACAGGAAAAAGAAATTGATAGTTATGAAGAAAACATAGAAAATGAATGTTACGTGAAAGAAAGAGATGAAATTCCTGGTACAAGTAAGCATCTACAGAAAAAGGAAAAGAAAATGGCCAGAAAGCAAGCAAAGGTTAGTAATAATGAGGATAGGAAAGTATAAAACCATCCAGAACACATATGCGTTAAAGATGGTTTGTACGTGTTGCTTAGCACTTTCCTCTGCCATATTCTAATATGGATGTTCACTAAAGAAGTGACAAATTCATGTTTGAACGTCATTTATATACAACATGTGTTATAGCTTTGTTTGCTGAGAAATATGAAGTCCATTTAAAATATGCACATAGAAAGACGATATGTGAGGATCCAAAGCTCACTACTGTTTATTCATAGTAACACCAGGTTTAAGCCTAAACCATATTGCTTGTAACTCATATGTTAACTCTGTTTATAACTCACACATTGTTGTTGTTAGTTGCGAAGTCATGTCCGGCCCATCGCAACCCCATGGACAACGTTCCTCCAGGCCTTCCTGTCCTCTACCATCTTCTGGAGTCCATTTAAGCTCACGCCTACTGCTTCAGTGACTCCATCCAGCCCCCTCATTCTCTGTCGTCCCCTTCTTCTATTGCCCTCAATCTTTCCCAGCATTAGGCTCTTCTCCAGTGAGTCCTTCCTTCTCATTAGGTGGCCAAAGTACTTGAGTTTCAACTTCAGGATCTGGCCTTCTAAAGAGCAGTCAGGGTTGATCTCCTCAACCGGTTTGATTGCCTTGCAGTCCAGGGGACTCGCAGGAGTCTTCTCCAGCACCATAGTTCAAAGGCCTCAATTCTTTGGCGCTCAGCCTTTCTTATGGTCCAACTTTCATAGCCATACATTGCAACTGGGAAAACCATGGCCTTGACTATGTATACTTTTGTTGGCAGGGTGATGTCTCTGCTTTTTAGTATGCTGTCTAGATTTGCCATAGCTTTCCTCCTCAGGAGCAAGCATCTTTTAATTTCATGGTTGCAGTCCCCATCTGCGGTGATCTTGGAGCCCAGGAAGATAAAATCTGTCACTACCTCCATTTCTTCCCTATCTATTTGCCAGGATTTGAGAGGGCCGGATGCCATGATCTTGGTTTTCTTAATGTTGAGTGCCAACTTTTGCACTCTCCTTCTTCACCTGCATCAAGAGGCTCACTCACACATTAGGTCAATTTATTCCAATTTTAAAAACAATGATATTGCTTATAAAACTTCAGCATACATTACTGTTAATTATTGTTTTGATATGNTAACTGAAGTCTTCTTTTAAAAAATGGATATGGGCTAGGCTTCAATCTCGTACATACTTAGTGGACAGTAGATCTGTGATTCATGTTGACAATTTTTTGTCATTCTAATTAAAAAAATGCTTATTGAACTTTCATGTACAATATGAGCAATATTCTAAATTCAATGCAGTATTCCGTTCATCATTCCCAGGAAGGACTACCATGAGCCATTGGGCCTATAATGATAAAGTTATTTAATCCACCAAAAACTGGTTTGTAGAAAAATATGAGAAATTATTTTGATGACTTTTTATACAGCCTATCTCATTTTCTCTCTCTATCTAGCTCCTTTAAATCTTCCTCTGAGAATTGGAGAATCCTTCAAACTTGTTATGGGTACAGAGTAGAAAATGTGGAAAATCATTTTTGTTTATTTATTTTGCAGAGTAGCAAGTGTGTATTAATATAAAGCTAATATTTTCTATTTACTAAAAAACTTATCTATGAATAGTATTTCTCTTCAACAAATATAATTGTTGAACTGGAAAATACTTTATTATACTTATTTCTAGAGAACAAGTGCTGCAATTTTTAAGGCACTGAATAATTCTGACAAAGAAAATGAAGAGTTGAAAAAAAAGGTTAAAGGTAAGTCAGATCTATCTTATCCTCATTTGCATATTTTAAGTGGCATCTTTCACCTTTGAGGATGAAGTGAAACTCTCTTTCCTTGAATGAGAGTTGTTTTAAAATTTGATCTTCATTTAAATAATATAATAATGTCCTATTAGTTAATATCCCAGCAATACTCTGTTACATTCAGCTTCAATATACACGTATCTGTAGATTATCTGATTGATTTTAGCATTTATGTTATGTGTTTGTATACTTGCAAATTTTGAAATCTTCCCCTCAACTTTTATGTCTGCAAGGAAGACATAAAGTTGCAAAATTAATTGATGTACAATATGAAGTTTGTCAATTGTTGTTTCATATGTCTTTTGTTTGTTTCATTTGATTAAATGCTTGTATATATGTATACAGGTAGACTTTTAGCCCACAGTTGGCACTGGCACGTCTGTCACTAAGCAAAGTGGTCACTAAGTGAGAAATATGTAACTATGACTGTCCTTTGGAATGTTCATTCCAGGGGTGTTGAGGTTGAAATTGACAAAATTAAATCAGTTTCACACTTTCAGCTTTTGCTGGCTTCCTAATCACTTCCCTGCCCCATCAGTGTGGAAGGGATTACAAGAGAGTAAGCAGACATACAAAATAGGGAATACACATCAAAAGCAGTGCACTGGCATTGGCACCCACGAGTCTGCAAGGCAAACAGCCTGGTTTGTTCCCCATCGTGTGCCTCTCTGCTCTGCAAGAGGAGGGTGAGAAAAACAACAGGCAGACTGTAATGGTGGTCACATGACAGGGACAGCACTGCGGTGACCTCAGAGAATGAGGCAATTGGTAAGTGAGCACGACCACATATATTTGATTACCTTAGGATGGTCAGGTTTCTAGATTTCCTCACACTGTAATTCTAGGTCTTATTGCTTTTCTTAAGCGACAGCCTCAATATCGCATAAAACATTGAAAAGATTATCAAAAGCTACTACTCAGCTTTTTTTTTAAAAAAAAATAATTCTTTGGATATAACCAAAATCGTTGGACTCTCTGAAGTATCTCTGGAGACTGGGAAAACAAAGGAAGCATGTTAAAGGAGACTGGGAAAACAAAAGAAGCATGTTAAAACTGTAGATATGTTGGACCACTGGCAAGTTAGCAAAGATACTGCAAACCAATACATTTTAGGGTACAAATTGAGAAGATGTTATTAGAGACTGTTTGCTCTGTTCATTATTTTCAAATATGTAATGTTTACATCCTGTTTTTTGTAAAGATAAACATCTATATAGAAGTACACATCTTTTCTACCTATGTAGCAGCATAATCATTGGTTAAATGAAGATTAAAATGTATATTGTTCGTATCTTGATTTTTATTTTAGAATATGAAAAGAAAAAGCTAATGCATAGTTTTGTGGACCGCATTTTTGGTGGAGAATTAACAAGTACAATCATGTGTGAAGAGTGCCAAACAGTAAGTGATATATATGTATGTATCCATGTATGTATGCATGCATTTATGTGTATATAAATTGGGGGGGGCAGCGATACTAGGGCTAATGTCACTACAATGGATTTTCTCAAGTTATCTTCTTCTGACACGGTTCAGCATTGTGCTACATTATAAAGCGACTTGGTGCGATTGTGTTAATAAAGACTAAACAATGTGTAAGTCTAGGCAGCCATGGCTTATTCAACACAAATAATGCAAATCATAAATATATTAGTGTCCTAAAGTTCCTCCCAGGCACAATTTTAAAAAGCCTAGGAGCTATACTAATTGCTGTACAGAAATTTCCCATAACTAAAAGAAGCAAAACAAAGTAAGATAAAACATACAAGTGTAGTATGTTCTCTTTAAAAAGAGTTCAAGTATATATTTTCAAATTATTAAGCTATATGTAAAGTGAAATTATATTTTTATATATCCCATTTTTTATATATATATATCTTAGCCTCTGGAGGCATTATACACATTTTTTTCCTTTTAT